GTCACGCGTCTCCTTGCTACTGCTGTCACTGACCCTTCCTTCGAGTCGTCTGCTGCGTCTGCCCTTGTCACTGAGCTTGTCGACTTTGCTGCGCGCTGTCGTCTAGACTACGCTGCCCGTCTTGTCACTGAGTCTGAGTCCGCCTGTCCTCCGTCCGTCGGGGGTGAGTGTGCCCTTGGCACGGACGTCCTTGAGGACAGGCAGGAGGAGTTCCAGTGTCTGGCCGCCGCTTCACCTCGTCTCGCGTCTGTACTGCTAGCCCCTGAGGGAGACCCGGATGCACCAGACATCCCGACTCCGCGCTCTTACGCGGAGGCGATAGAGGGTCCCTACTCCTCTCAGTGGCAGGCAGCTATGGATGCAGAGATGGCTTCCTGGAAGTCCACAGGCACCTACGTTGACGCTGTTCCCCCCCCTGGGGCGAACATCGTCAGTGGCATGTGGATTTTCAGGGTGAAGCGGCCGCCGGGTTCTCCGCCTGTCTTCAAGGCGCGTTACGTGGCTCGTGGCTTCAGTCAGCGGCAGGGGGTTGATTACTTTCAGACCTTCTCCCCCACCCCGAAGATGACCACTCTTCGGGTCCTGCTGCACGTTGCTGCTCACCGTGACTACGAGCTGCACTCTCTCGACTTCAGCACAGCTTTCTTGCAGGGCAGCCTGCACGAGGAGATCTGGCTGCGTCGCCCACCTGGCTTCACTGGGTCTTTCCCTCCTGGTACCCAGTGGAGTCTCCGGCGTCCAGTCTACGGTCTCCGCCAGGCGCCACGTGAGTGGCACGACACACTGAGGACTACGCTCGCGGCACTTGGGTTTGCTCCTTCTACTGCCGACCCGTCGCTGTTTCTGCGCACCGACACCTCTCTGCCGCCGTTCTACATCCTCGTGTACGTCGACGACTTGGTCTTTGCCACAGGTGACACTGCTGGACTCGCCTACGTGAAGTCCGAGCTGCAGAAGAGACACACGTGCACTGACCTGGGTGAACTGCGCAGCTATCTTGGCTTGCAGATCACCCGGGACAGAGCACGCCGCACCATTACCCTGACTCAGTCACACATGGTGCAGCAGGTCCTTCAGCGCTTCGGCTTCACGTACTCCTCGCCTCAGGCCACTCCTCTGCCTACTCGCCACTCGCTCTCAGCTCTGCCTTCGGATGAGTCCGTAGAGTCGAGTGGCCCGTATGCAGAGCTTGTTGGCTGCCTCATGTACCTGATGACCTGCACACGACCTGACCTTGCATACCCTCTTAGCATTCTCGCACGCTATGTTGCTCCTGGGAGACACCGACCAGAGCACATGGCTGCAGCGAAGAGGGTGTTGCGCTACTTGTGCAGTACGTCGGGCATGGGGCTAGTGCTTGGAGGGCGCAGTCCAGTGGTCCTCACTGGGCACGCGGACGCTTCTTGGGCTGACGACCAGGCTACGCAGCGGTCGTCACAGGGTTACACCTTCAGCCTTGGTTCCGGCTCTGTTTCGTGGCGGGCTACCCGCTCGTCTTCTGTTCTCGGCTCCAGTTGTGAGGCTGAGATCTACGCCGGGGCTATGGCTGCACAGGAGTTACGCTGGCTCACCTACCTGTTGACCGACCTTGGAGAGCAGCCTCGTTCTCCTCCAGTCCTGTACGTAGACAACAAGGCCATGCTGGCCTTGTGTCGAGAGCAGAGACTGGAGCACAGAACGAAGCACATTGCTCTCCGCTACTTTCTTGCTCGTGAGCTACAGCAGCGTGGACAGTTGCGACTTGCGTACGTGGCCTCTGAGGCCAACAGTGCTGATGTCTTCACCAAGGCACTTGCGCCTTGTGATCATCAGCGTTGTTGCACGCAGTTGGGTCTTGTGCCTGTCTTGCCTCACTTGCTCTCCTCTTGACCTTGCTTGTACCTTCGCCTATATATACTCTTGCTCTTGCTTACTTGACTCTTGTATATCTCTATATATGATCTTGCATGTGAACTGGCCATGTGGCCTTGAACTTGTGCTCGGAATGTGTGGTGACTTTGTGATCCACCCTGAGCTTTGCTTTGCTTTGCTTGACTGGTCTTGTGACCCCTTGTTCTCCCCCACTTTGCCTATGGGGGTGTGTCAGAACTATATAGCTTATACTATTGTGTAGGCTATAGTGGGGTATCCCATAGGGGGTACAACCCAATTAGGGTTTCCTATTTGTACTCACTTCTTTCATAGTCATTCCATTCTCGTTCTCTCTTTCACACGCCCCACTCCCTCCATGTGCGTATCGTGGCCGTCCCAAAAATGGATGCTGCCTGATGCGTGACAGGTGTTGAAGTCCCGTTGTTCGCACGTGTTATTCCTGCCGAAGTCCCTTCGTGCTGCAGCGTTCGCCTCCACCATTTCAGCGCAGGTCCTCGCAACAGTGAAACTGCGAAATTAATGCGGGTGGCATCGTCATAAATCATGGCAGCATTAAAAACACCTCCACGCCGAACAACCATGCAGAAACAGTGACTAACTTGTCACTTGGGTTGAACGGGGCCGGGTTCATCGGCTTGATTTTAACAAAAGCCGTTGTTGCCATCGGGACCGTTAGTACTGCTGCCGGCGTCGCCGTCGTCGTCGCTGCTGCATGTGTCGGTGCTGCACGCGACTGTTGCGGCGACTGTTGCTGCTGCACCTGCCTCGCCTCGTCCGCATCCATCTCGCCTTCCAGCTTGCTCCAGACCTGCTCATCTGGTGCAGTGCTGCTACTTGCGTCGTCCACGACAGGCGACTCCTGGCGCGCTTCACCACGCGCCTAGTGTAGTTCGGCGTTTTCCTCTCGAAGACGCGCCATTTCTGCAGACATCGTCTGCATGTTGGCCTGCATCATCCGGAACTATTGCATGAGCTCGTCGAACTCCGCCTGGTCCATGTGTCGCAGGCTTCGTCTAACGAGCAGGGGGTGGCTAGCGATTTTTCTGACTTCGCTGAAGGCGTTAATGCTATCGTAGTCGGAGTGGAATAATCGGATCTATTCCACGGGCCGACCGCTTAACAGCCCACCAAGTCTATCGCTCCCCTTCTACAAACTACCCCGGAAACGCGAGGGTAACCTAGGAAAGTAGCTCTGATACCAGGTGTTATGAGTTGTATGAAAGAAGAGTGCTCTGAATGCAATATCGCAGAACACAACGAGGCCTAGGACTAATATAGCGAAGCTAGCTGGGCCGAGTTTGCGGGGTCGCGAGATGGTTGGGTGCAGGTTCGGGGTTGGGAAACCCGAAAGCGACGCGGTAGTGGTTCGGAAGGCGAGGTCAGCGGACCGAGCCTGGTTTTCCAAAAAGTCGGGGTTGTACGCGTACAGCGTACAGTGTGACCCAGTAAGGAATCCTAAAAATTATTTACAAAAGCAATAATTTCTGTAACGAAAACCAAGCTCACCATCTTGGACACACGCAATGCGCTGCGAACGAGGGAAGTTGTGGTCCACGAAAGGGGATAATTTCGTCCCACGCGTGTGAGGAGCGGTTGCCAAACACCGAGTAAGGCACGAAATCTAGTGCAGGTTATTTTCGCCTCAAATTCTGGATCGGCTCATAGATATTTCATTTCAACGATTTTCGACCACAACCTCATACAGGCTAAGCACCAAATTTATTTTTTTCCGGTGCACTGTTGAACCGTTGGTGGCCTCGAAAAACAGGGCCAGAAATGAGCCATCCTGGAGTGCGCTGTCAAATAGAATCTACGCTGGGATGGTCGTCACGTGATGGCAGCTTTGGTCTGCACATGGCCGCTTCGAGGAGCCTAGCGTCCCTCAACCACCAGTGATGCTCGAAGAGTATCGTACTGGAGCCGACGTGGAAAAGTGGGCAGCTGAAAGTGTTCTTGTGGATACGGTTTTGACTGAGCCGTTTGAAGTCGCTCACAGCCACGAGTTTCTCCTCGAAGGACTCTCTCTCCCCAAGTTCGCTGGGTGGTCCGCCAACGAGGTTGATCCCCCTCTCCCCCCAGCATGATTGATCTGCCCATTTTCCGTGTTCTGCGCGCAAACACGTCAGCTGTAGAAAAAAGCTCCAAAGCGCGTGACAAAAAGGACGCACCCTGCACTTGCCTTTTTTTCCGCTTTCCTCTGCCGCATCATCACCGCGCACAGGCCTTTAGGGGGAAAGGGGAGCCGTTTCGCTCTCCATGTGCAATTCTCCACCACAAGTCTTCCGCGGAGGCTCTGATTTCCTCCACCGCAATGGTCCCACTTTCCGCAATCCGCACATCCACCAGCAAGACTCCCCCTTTCGTCCACCTCGGGACTGCCTCCCTGAACCTTGGGATCATCTCGTTTTGCCTCCCTCACCTCGAGAGTTGCGAGAGCCAGGAAACTCGAGGGATGCTCCCTTGCTATGAGCTGCTTTCTAGCAGTTCTAGTTCCACATTTGTATGCAGCTTATGAGATGGTCTATGACCAGCTAACGCATTAGCCCAGGCAATACTCTGCATAATCGCTTGAAGCGAGACAGACCAATGATATAGTTGTCGACGGTTTTTAGTACCGTGCTATCTCAAACGCGTCGGAACGCTGATTATTGAGATAAAACTGACCGTTGGTTGATACTCAGGCAGATTAGACTAAAAGTTCCTTAGACCGAGCGAGCAGATGTTTTGTTGCTGCTCCTGACTTGTAAACAACCCCAACGGCGATCTTCAAGTTCAATCCTCCTCACTTTCAGATGGAAAGCCCACCTTACGTAGTTGCAGCTGTTGGAGGAAAACGTAAGCGAGAGGAAGAAGAGGAGGTTTTTCATTCCGAATCCAATGGCTCAGTAAAGACCCCAGTTGTTGCATCTAGCTGTCCGTTTGACCAGACCACAACATCATCCCATCCAGTACTCGCTTCTCCTCGCGAGAAAGACTTTTCGCGCGTCTCGCAGGAAGCTTCTTGCGTAGCTGGCGTTCCAACAAAAGCCGATACAATTTTCGACGATCACGAGAACGCGGCCCTTGCGCTATCGCCGTCCAGAAATGTCAGCCAGCTCGTTTCGCCGCCGGGAGTTGTGTCTCAAGAAATGGCCGCTCGAGTCGTGGCCGGGTCTCAGCTAAAAGAGGAAGCTGTTGCAGCAGCGGAAGCCGCAGCGGCTGCTGACGCCGCGGCTGCTGCTGCGGCAGAAGAGGCGACGGGATGCCCTGCGGGAGAGAACAAGGCGGTAGAGTTGACCGTTGAGCAAATTGATTCGATCTGCGAGGAAGCAGCAGCGGCTGTAGCTGCTACAGCTGCCGCAGCAGCCGGCGCGCTGGCGAGCGAGAAGTGGGAGGCGGAGGCCAGCAGTGAGGAGACGAACAAACGGAAAAGAAGACGGAGAGTTCACAAGAAGACAGCGGAGGGAAACTTTCCGTCTGCGTCGAATCAGCCGGAGGATGGTGGGAGGTCCGATGGAGGAAGGGAGGAGGGAAGCGAGACGACGGAGAGCAACGTTTCTGAGGAAGAGAGAGGGGGGACGGGATTGGATGCGAGAATTGGAGACGCAGCGGATGCGGCGGCGGGAAACACAGAAGAGGTGGAGCTAGATTCGCAACAAGAGGATGGCGACGGCGCGGGTCTGTCGCTGTTCGACACGGAGAAGAACGACTCTATGATGGACATCGATGGCGGCTCGGCGGCGGCGAATGCGGCGAAGAGCGCCGGTCGGAAGGGAGGCCAGGAAGGGATGCAGGAAAGAGTCGAGGCGGCTTCCAGGTTGGCGGCTGTGGATGAGTCGGGAATCGCCGTTGAGGTTGACGGTGATGACGCCGTCAATCACGGCGGAAAACTCGTGCACTCTCGGCGGCAAGTTGCAGCCGCGGAGGTCGCGCCGGAGGATGCGGAGAGCAAGCATGGCGCGAAAGGCCGCACCGGGAAGTGCGCCGCCGCGCACGGCGGGAAGGCGACGGGGAAGGAAGCGCGAGCGACGGCGGCGCTGTCGCAGGTGCTGGTTCGTACGAGCATGGAGTCGTGTCGCACGGTGGTTCTGCGAGTCAGGCCGAGCGACACCGTGGACGACGTGCTTTGGCAGATCCAGTGAGTGACGTACGATGATGTCAGCATGGCCATGCCAAACAGTACATCCATTGGTTCAAGCCATGCCAAGAAACACTGTTTCTCTCTTCTATTTTTTCCCTACCCCCCACAAACCAACGTTCGTCGCCCCTCGTTTCCCGCCCTTTCCTCCCTCCTCTCACCAATAGGCGAAAAACGGGCCTTCCAGCGCACGAGCATCGCCTCATCTACGCTGGAAAGCAGCTTGACACCTCCGCTCGCCTGCAGGACGTGCCTGTGCCGCACGATGCCACGCTGCAGCTGATCGGACGGCTGAGATCGACGCTCTTCCCCGACGTGTGGCTGCTGGTGGCGGAAATGGAGGCGGGGCTGGCGCAGCTGCAGCGCCTGGAGGCCGTGGGCGCGGGCGTGGGGGAACCTCCGCCGAGCGCGGGGAAAGGCGACGGAGGCGGAAGAGGGGGCGTGAAGGAAAATGGGAGGGAGGGCGGAAGGGCGGACGGGGGAGAAGTCCCCATGCACGAGCAACGCGCGGAAGTGGCGGAAGGTGGGAGGGGAGGCGGCGAAGGAGGCGGAGATGCGTGCAATTGTGCGGTGGAGAGGGGAGGGAGGGGGAGAGGCGGGGGGAGAGGGCGGGGAAGAGGGAGAGGGAGGGGGAGCCGAGCAGCAGCAGAGGGTGCTAGTGGGGGTGCTGTGGAGGTTCAAGCAGGGGACAGAATCGATGCCATGGAGCAAGAACCGGCTCAGACGCAGCAGCAACAGCAGCAGCGGCAACAACAACAAACACAGGAGGAGGAGCAGCAGCAGCAGCAGGATGAGCAGGAAGCGCCAGGAAGCGGGGGTGGGGGTGGAGGCGCAGTGGTGCAGGAGGCGGGTGGGAAGGGGCGGCGGGAGCGGCTGAGCAAGTACTACGAGGACAAGATCCACTGCGCCATGGCGCAGCTCTTCGTGCGCGCCGTTGACACCATCCGTTCCGGCCACGACGGCTGGACCATCAAACTCGCCGAATACATCGAGGCCTTCAGGTACACACAACGCTTCAGGTAACTTCTGGTTTGCATCGGGTTTTCAGGTTCTTCAGGCGTTCTACTGACTGTTTTCTGACAGTGTTTCTCAAAAAGTGACAGAAAAGCAGTTCATGTTTCTGCTTTCAGGTCTTCTTCCTCGTCTTAGTCTGCGGGCTTAACATCACAATGGTCTTGTGGTTTCCACCTCCGTCCCATTGGCAGGCTGGCAGGAGGTGTGCGGGCGGCCGTGCAGCTGCTGCAGCTGAAGGAGCCCCACCACATGCACTTTGCTGACCAGACCGTCGCTAGTTTCCTAGACGAACGAGGTGAGAGAAAAGCTATTAAAAGAACAACAAGAAAATAGAGAAAGGAAAGGGAGAGTACAAGTCTATTTCACTAAAAAGATGATGAGTATGCACTCACATACAATGCATTTGCATTGAGGATGTACTTTCCACGATTTCCCCTCTTCATACACTCCCACCTCATTTCCGCCCTCATGTCTTGCATCCCCTCCCCCTCCCCCGGATTCCTCCTTACTCCAGCCCTGATCACGTACATGCACGACTACGCGTGCCCGGGCAAATTCGCGCGCCCGCTGCTGGACTACCTGGGCCCCGTGCTCATGGAGCTGCACGTGTTGCTCGACTCCTGCCGCCTGCGACCAGTGCTCACCACCAGGTGTTGGGACGCACTAGTCAAGCTGTTCGGCAAGGTGCAGCTGGGTCGCTTCTGCCCCCAGCTCAACCGCTCCCCGGACTGGCTCGTGCGCAACCTCGCGCCCTTCCTGGAAAAGGCAGCCACAGACCTCTGCATAAGCCTGCACCAGCTCACCCTGCTCGCAGCAGCCAAGTCCGACACGCTCACCTCCCCCCTCACCTCCTCAGCCTCCTCCGCTTTCAAAACGTTCGCGTCAGCCATTGTCCTCTCGCTCCCCTTCTGCCGCCCGGCGGTTCGCCAGTCCGCGTTCTGCCGCCCGGGATGGCTGCTGACTGTGTTTGGCTCGGTGCTGAGACACGTGGACGCGTGCCTGGCTGAGTCAGCGCGGTTCGCCAGGCGGCTGCTGCTGCTGACGGAGGGGCCTGCTGTGCTGGCGAGCACTGCTGCTGCTGCCGCAGCTGCAGTTGCCACTGGTACTGCAAGTTTGTCCAGTTTCGCTGGTGCTGGTGCTGGTTTAGGTGCTGCTGCTGATCCGTTGATACCACCACCAGTTGCTGCCTTCGGCTCCTTCCCTGCGACCTGGCCGAACTTCACTGGTCTCCCTTCCTACGCTGCTCCCTCCCCTGCCTACTCGCCTGAAACAGCTGCTGCTGTGGCTGCAGCTGCGGCAGCACAATCAGCCCAGCTGTCCCAATCTGCTGCATCACTGCATGCGTACCAGTACCATTCGACGACAGCAACTCCACCAGCAGCAGCAGCAACAGCAGGACACGCATTCATAAGTGCAAGCCACCAGGCTGCCTCTGCCCTTCCCTTCCCACACAGCCCCCCCTGGCACAACGACGACCACCACCACCACCACCCCGCCACTCCCATGCACACCTCACCCCACCGCAACCAACCCTACCAATCTCCCCAACACCCAGCCCCCTTCCCGCCCCCCGCCTCCTCTCCCTTCGCCCCGCCCTCCCACCCCGCCTCCCCACTCCCGCCCCTCTCTCCCCCGGACCTAGTCGGCCGAATGGCCCTCTCTCTCCTCCCAGAACCCCTCAGGGAATGCATCCCTGCCGTCCTGCAAGGACTATACCTCCTAGCAGCAGTAGCAGCAGGGGCGGGGAGGGGCGGCAGTGCAGAGCAGCTAGTGGGACTGCTGGTGAGGCACAGGGGGTGTGTGAACGCGGTGATTCAGAACCAGCACTTGGCGCCGGGAGGGGACCTGGCGTGGGTGTGCGAGCACAGGGAGCTGATTGACATGGATGTGAAGAGGCGGTGGATGGGTGCTCTGCTGCCGGAGCCCGCTGAAGACCATGCCAACCGATGCACCGTCATTGTGAGTCCACGTGATGGCTGGCTGCTCGCTTGGCAGAGTCACAGTGAGTCGAGGTGATGGCTGAGTCCTCCAAAACTGGTTCAGGTCTGTCGGCTGCAAGCTCGTGTCAGCAGGCCACTCCCCTCCTACTGCCAATATTCTCGGAAAATCTCATCTTTACTCTCTTTCTCTCTCATCCACTCTCTGCCATCCCAACCCACCAGGTGCACCGAGGCCCCTCGCTACTCCACGAGTCCTTTGATCAGATCTTCTACGCGCCGCCAGAGGCCCTCAAGTCCGGCCTGCTCGTGCAATTCGTCGACGAGGACGGCTCCGGCGCGGGCGTCCTCCGCGAGTGGTTCATGCTCGTGGGCTGCGAGCTTTTCTCGGGGGTAAACGCCCTCTTCTCCGCCTGCCCGGACGACCACCAGCGCTTCTTCCCCTCGCCCTCCTCCGCCATCAACCCCGGCCACCTCTCCTACTTCCGCTTCTGCGGCCGCGTCGTCGCCCTCGCGCTCATGCACAACATCCATCTAGACGTAACCTTCGCGCTCGCCTTCTACAAGCTGCTAGCCGGGCGGGAAGTCACCTGGAGAGACTGTAAAGACATAGATCCGGAGCTCTTCGCGAGCTGCAGGGCGATCATGGCGCTGCCGGCAACGGATGTGGATGCGGATGTGCTGGGGCTCACGTTCGTGTGCAGCGTGGAGGAGGGCGTGGGCGTGGGGGAGAGTCGGGTCGTGGAGCTGTGTCCGGGAGGGGAGTTCATCAAGGTCACCAACAGCAACCGCCACGCGTTCATTGACCTGCTCGTGAAGCGAAGAATTGTGGCGCCTATGAGGCTGCAGGCCCTGGCCTTTGCCGCGGGCTTTTCAGAGCTCCTGCACTGCCGGGACCTACCCATTTCACTCGCACTCCACACCTCCTCGCTCCACGCCTCCTCCCTCCACGCCTCCTCCCTCCACGCCTCCTCCCTCCACGCCTCCTCCCTTCACGCCTCCTCCCTCCGACCTCCCCACTCCATTCCTGTTGGCGTCAGCATTCCTGCTGCTGCTGTCACTGTGACTCCTGCTGGCGTCACCCTGGCTCCTGCTGGCGTCAGCATGCCTGCGGCTGGCTTCACCATGACTCCCACTAACCCTATCAACCATTTGCACATGGGCGCAGCAGGGAATGTGGAAGCAGGGGGGCAGCAATGGGGCCGCGCTGCGCCACCTGCTGCTGCTGCTGCACCAGCATCAGTGCCAACACCACCAACACAACCACCAGCACCGCCAGCACCAGCAGCAGTACCAGCACCAACACCAACATACGCTACTGCCCTTCCCACACCCGCCATCGCACCCCCGACAGCCACTGCTACAGCCGCCCTTTCTTGGCCCACCTCCAATCCCAATGCAGCTGCTACCGCAGCAGCTACAGCAGCAGCAACAGCAGCTGCGGCGGCGGCTGTAGCAGCTACAGCCCTGTGGGCTGCTGCCTTGCAAGGCACGTCTGGACCGGTCCCCGCTTCCATGGACACTCTTCCAGCACTCATGGCTGCCCACGCTACAGCTGCTACAGCCGCTGCCACTGCTGCTGTTACCACAGTTGCCACACCTGCCACAGCTGCTGCTGCCCTGCACAGCGTCATGAGCACCCTACCGACAGTCATCACCAGCCAGCCGTCAGTCATGGTACCCCTCGCTACAACCCCTGTTGCTACAGCTGCACTGACCAGCGTCCTTCCCGGGGCTGCAGCCGTTGCTGCTACAGCCGGTGCAGGTGTGCCACCCAATCCGACCTCTATTCCATCAGTTGTAGCGCCAATGACAACTGAGTCCCCGATGGTGGCGGCTGTAGCGCCAATGGCAGCTGTGGTGCCGGTGGTGGTGCCGATGATGAGTCCGGCTGTAGCGGTGGTGGAGAGCGGGTGGGTGATGCAGCAGGCGTTGCGGCCGCTGGATGCGGGGGACTTTGAGGCGCTGCTGTACGGCGAGGAGAGGGACATCGATGTGGCGGACTGGCGTGCGCACACGGACTACCATGGCTATCGGGCCACTGACCCTGAGGTGTGTGAAATAACAGAACCTTCCATAACATGGTCCCTCTTTGAGCCTTGTTTTGATACTTTCTGTGGCTTCTGATGGTTAAAGAAGGGACTTGCCGTTTCTTTCTTGTCCTGATTATTGTCCTTGTCACTCGTGCTTGCAGATCGAGTGGTTCTGGGAGGTGGTGGAGGAAATGACCAAGGACCAGCGCAGGCGTCTCCTCTACTTCACTACGGCCATCACACGCCTCCCAGCTTCCGGCTTTGCCGGCCTGCAATCTAGGTACGAAATGGGCCGTGGAAGCTTTCAGAATTCTGGTCTGCTCTTCTTGTCCCGGGTTTCTGGCCAAGGAGCGTTTGGATTATCCTAAGATGCTTACTTGAGTGTATTCATGCTGCTGCAGGTTCCACATTCATCTTGCATTGACTGACACCACACATCTGCCAACTGCACACACATGCTTCCATCAACTTGTGTTGCCACCGTATTCGTCCAAGGCGATGATGAGGCAAAGACTCCACACTGTCATCGCTGATCACCTTGTACAAGGATTCGGTTTTGCATAGAAGGTTCTACTGATTAATTGGAGTAGCCATTGTAATGCTGCTTCCCCTAGGGTCCTTTTTATCCCATCATAACAACTTTTCATGTAAATGGTAGGTGTGTTGCCTGATGGAAAACGCCATCACAAATTTTGTATGGTGTTGCCATGAACATTGAATTGCTGATTGTAGAGAAAGTATGGAGTATTGTTCATGTGGTTTGTATCTGTGTAAGCCGTAGGATAGCGCTTGGCAGTTTTCCAAAATTCGTATCTGTAGTTTTCTCCAGACGGCTTCTTCGTTATAGGAGCAGGCTGGGTGTGCTTCGCTTGTGTGTGGTATGGTGCTCCTCCCCTCCCCTCGTTCGGCTCATCCTTCTAGACCGTACACGGTATGTCAGTATATCATTATGTTTCAGTGAGTTTTTACACGGTGCAGAGCGTTTGCCGTCCGAACATCCGCACCATGCTCTACTTCACACGTAGAGTTACATCCAGCCTGACCTTCAGTGCTACCCTGGCTGTTGGTGACTGGTCAGCAGCACGTTCTGGTCCGTGCCTGTTCGCCTTCCGTTCCGTCTCCTGTAATCCTTGACATTTGATCACTCCTTTACATCTATGCCGCCGCGCCGTCCGCGTCGCTTGTAGTTCTTCGTTTGATCCTCGATTTCAGCGTTGTAGTGGTGCGACCGTAGTGCGACCTTTGCTCAAGGCTAGTCGTCTTTCGAAGTCTGATGAACCAGCACCGCTCCTTTTCCTCTTGAATCGATCTAACCAGTCTCCAGGCCAAAGCGACTTACTTCGTCGGGTTTGCTCTGAATTCATTAGTTCCTTTTAGATTAGAAATTATAAGATGATGATTTCAAGCTCGTTCACGCGTGGCGACGCTTCGTTGTAACGCGAAGAATTCGCCGTAGCGAGTCAACAGGAACAAAAAATCTTCGTTGATTCGCGGTCACAACATCTGAGAACTCTCCGCTGTTCTTAGTCACCGATTAAGGAGGAGCGCGACTCGAGGCCATGGAGTTTCTTAAAAAGCTTCGGCAGCTGGACGCGTATCCCAAGGTCAATGAGGACTTCTACAGTCGCACCATGTCGGGCGGCATCCTCACGCTCCTCTCCTCCGTCGTCATGGCCGTGCTCTTCATCACTGAACTCCGTATGATCATCCTTTCCCACGCCCATGTCAGCTGCGATATACCCTTTATAAGCATCCTCACGCTCATCTCCCCCGTCGTCATGGCCGTGCTCTTCATCACTGAACTCCGTATGAACATTCTTTTCCGCACGCATGTCAGCTGTGCTTCTCCGTCATGATATTTTCTTCTTAGAATTCTCATGCTCTTCCCCTTCGTCGTCCTGGCCGTGCTACTAATGAACATTCCCTTTCATTGTACATGAACCTTAATTGCTGAAATATGTATCCATTCACTCTCTCTTTCTTTCTTCCTCTCCTTCCCTAGGCATTGCTGCTGTTTGTATCGCCCTTAACATAAGCCCCAGGCACAACCACCGTGCTCGTACTCTCTGCTCATACCCTGCGTCTTCCATCCACCTCTCCGTTCCGTCCGTTCCCGCTCCTCTCCGTCCATTCCCGTCCGATCAGGCCTTTTCCTCCAGCCGAAGATCGTCAACGAGCTCTCTGTCGACTTGTCGCGCGGAGAAACCCTCAAAATAAACGTGAGCGCCCACATGTTTCCAGATCGTCACGACCTCGCGAAATATGTGGCCCATTTGGAGCCGCTCTCTCGTCGACCCGAGTCATGGTTAATGCACGTTCTCTCAACCGCCTCCTAATCCTTCCTCTCGACCCCCGCTCCCCTCCCCAGCTAACCCCCTTTCTCAAAATCAGTTCCCCCCCTCCCCTTCCCCCTCCACCACCACCTCACCCGACCCACATCAGCTGGACGTGACCTTTCCTCGGCTGTCATGCGCGGTGCTGTCGCTGGACGCCATGGACATCAGTGGCGAGCAGCACCTTGACGTGGTACGCATACAAACCATGCCATGCCCGCCAAACCATACCATTTCATGGTAGTTTGTTGTGACTTGGTTGGGACCGCCATGTTCCCTTCTGACCACAGATTTCCCGCCTCCCATCCTGACTCCAAACCATCCAATCATCTACCTCGTCCTCCCTATCCACCCTCAGCTCCCTGTTGCTCCTGTTCCCACGTCCCCCACGTCCCCCCCACGTCCCCCATGTCCTACCCGGTCCCCTTTTTCCCCCTTGTCCTCACCCTTTCCCCTTAGCTCCCATGTCCCCTCTGTCCCCCCTGCGCTCCGTGTCCCCCCTGCCCTCCATGTCCACCCCGCCCCTTTCCCCACAACAGGTGCACAACATCTACAAGCGGCGGCTGACGCCCATCGAGCTGCCGGAAGAGGCATTGACCCTCATCCACCCCGCATCATCCCTCCTTTCCCCCTCCCCACCCCCCCCCCCTCTCCCCCCTCCATCAGGTGCACAACATCTACAAGCGGCGGCTGACGCCCATAGGGCTGCCGGTGGAGGGTGTACACCCCCCTCCAATCGTCCCCCCTCCCCCCCCAACGCCCCCCGCCTCTTACCCCTCCCTCCCCCCCCGCCCTCCTCCCCATCAGGTGCACAACATCTACAAGCGGCGGCTGACGCCCATCGGGCTGCCGGTGGAGGGGATAGACTCGAAGCACGAGATAGGGGCGAAGCAGCACGACGTGCTCAAGAAGCGCGACAAGTTCGGCAACGTGGTGCCCGACGACCAGGACTTCTGTGGCAGCTGCTACGGCGCTGCTGAGGTGCGTGCGTGCGTGCGCCATGCTGTGTGCTCTCTCTATTGAGGGGCACTATGTGTTCTGTTGTTAGAGGAGCCTCAAGCAACGTGGTGCCCGACGACCAGGACTTCTGTGGCAGCTGCTACGGCACTGCTGAGGTGCGTTCCTGTTTTTAATTACCCACCCTCGCCCTTTGCTCGCCCTTTGCTCGCCCTTTGCTCGCCCTTTTCCCCCGTTCTTCACTCTCTAATCACCTGCTCCTTCCACTCATCATCATCATCATCATCATCATCATCATCATCATCATCATCATCATCATCATCATCATCATCATCATCATCATCATCATCATCATCATCATCATCATCATCATCATCATCATCATCATCATCATCATCATCATCATCAACATCATCATCATCATCATCATCATCATCATCATCATCATCATCATCATCATCATCATCATCATCATCATCATCATCATCATCATCATCATCATCATCATCATCATCATCATCATCATCATCATCATCATCATCATCATCATCAGCATCATCATCATCATCATCATCATCATCATCATCATCATCATCATCATCATCATCATCATCATCATCATCATCATCATCATCATCATCATCATCATCATCATCATCATCATCATCATCATCATCATCTCTGCGCCATCCCCCCCCTTCCCCCCCCCACGCCTCCCCTCTCCCTCGTCCCCTTTGCACCCGCGTCAGACGGACGACCAGTGCTGCAATAACTGTGAGGAGGTGCGAGAGGCGTACAACAAGCGAGGCTGGGCTTTCAACAACGCTGACGCCATCGAACAGGTTCCTCCTCCTCTCTCCCTACCTCTCTCGTCATCTCCATTTCCCTTCCACCACGCGCTCACCGTCCTCACTCGTCTTGCCCGCCCCCTTACCAGCTGCCTGACAGCACTGTGCAGATAGCTTCTTGCTTAGGCGCCTCAGTCTCTGCCAGCCACTGCCTATCCCCCCGTCCCCGCCTCCCCCTGTTCCTGCTGCTTGACTGACTGCACGCCGCAATTGCTGCCTTTTCTCTCCCCGCCGCCACTCTTGTGTGGTGCGATGCGAGTGCAGTGCAAGAGGGAGGACCTGATAGACAAGATCCAGGCGCAAGTGGGTGTGTGCAGTGCATACTGAAATGCCGTTAACTTCGTCTCACTCTCCCCCATCTCTCTCGTGTGTGGTGGGAGCGCAGTGCAAGAGGGAGGACCTGATAGACAAGATCCAGGCGCAAGTGGGTGAGGGGTGCAACATGTATGGCGTGCTCGAGGTGAGGAGTTGGTTACGGATGCACCAGGTAGGCGGTGGGGGTGTGTGGTGGGATGGAGGGGTGCGACATGTATGGCGTGTTCACCCCTGGCCGGTCTTTTTTTTTTTCCTTTGCGCCTCTTCCCATCCTCTCCTCGGATTCTTCTTTCCCATCCTTCCCTTCCTCCCATTCGCCCCATGCCTCCAAGTGAACAAGATGGCAGGCAACTTCCACTTCGCCAGAATGGTCTTTCCGCTGTCTCACTCTCTCCTGCCTTACCCGTCCCCGCAGCACCTCACACACGCTCCTCCCATCCGTCCTCTCTTGCAGGTGAACAAGGTAGCAGGCAACTTCCACTTCGCCCCGGCAAAGGTGTTCTACACGGCAGGCATCTCCATCTTTGACCTCGTCATGTTCCACGATACTGTCTTCAATGTGAGTGCTACTTGCTCGCTGGCTGTGAGAAGCTGCTGCAAGTTGTGCTCTACACGGCAGGCATCTCCATCTTCGTATCGTCATGTTCCACGATACTGTCTTCAATGTGAGTAGCTGGGGAGGGGAACACTGTTATGAACCAATTTAGAGGCGTCTTAGCACCCAAGGTGTTTAACACAGCAGGCATATCCATCTTTGACCTCGTCATGTTCCACGACACCATCTTCAATGTGAGTACTGCTTGAATGCGAGTCAGGACACAGTTATGCTGCCACACAACCATGAACCCATGCCTCACCTGTTGCCGGATCACCATTTTTCCCGCTCACGTTCCCTTTGCTCCCAGACCCCCCTTCCCACATGCACTCCTGTCTTCTTGTGTGTGACCTCCCCTCCCCCCCTTTCCCCCTTCCCCGTCTCCCGAATCTACCTATGCCACACGTGTTCCCCTCTGCCAGATATCTCACACGGTAAACTCCCTCTCATTTGGTGCCAAGTTCCCGGGAGCCGTCAACCCACTGGACAAGTAAGTCGTTGTGAACAAGTTGAAACCAGTGAGCCATTCTGGCATGGTGGGCACATAAGTTTTCTAAATTCGTGCGGATCAGAGCAGTGAGGAGTAATGCGCCTCCCGTGCTGTAGCCGTGAGGCCACCCATGCTGTCAAGCAGTAACCTGCTTGTGGTAAAGAAGAGCATCAGCTCGCTGTTTGACCGCATGGATGGCCTCCCTTCACCACTGTTTTTCATCAAGCTGATGCCCCACATGTACACGCCACATCCCTTTCCCATGCAGCTGAGTTACCTCCTCTCACTTCCCCACCGATTATATCCCATGCCTGCTGCTGTGAGCAGGGCGCTGTGGGTGCAGGAGGGCGAGTCAGGCATGTATCAGTACTTCGTCAAGGTCGTACCCACCATGTACACTGACTCCCTTTCCTCACAGCTCAAGTACCGCCTCCCGTTCCCCTCCCATCTCCCACCCATCCCACACGTGTGAGCAGGACGCAGTGGGTGCAGGAGGGCGAGTCAGGCATGTATCAGTACTTCGTCAAGGTCGTACCCACCATGTACACTGACTCCCACAACCACACCATCGCCTCCAACCAGGTATGGGCATTGGTTGCCCAAGTCTTACGATGGATATATATGTATGCATTCATATGTGTATGGATATGTATGTACGTCTGGATTGTCACTTCGTCAAGGTGGTGCCCACCATTTTCACCGACTCCCACAACCACACCATCGCCTCCAACCAGGTATGGCTAATGATTTACGCGTATATATCGTGCATTGGTTCCTTGAGCATGTATATCTTTTTGTACATACATATATGCATGTACACACACACAAACACACAAACACACACACGCACGCACGCACGCACGCACGCACGCACACACGCACGCACGCACGCACGCACGCACACGCACACACGCACACGTATATATGTACAAGTAGGTCTGCCTTCATTGCTCTGCATCTTTCTTTTCTCCCTATCCTTTTTCTGCCCTCACACTCTCGTTTCCTTCCCGTCTCCCTTCCCCCCTCCTCGCCAACCCCCTCACGCCACGCCTCCCTTCCGCCCGCAGTTTTCAGTGACGGAGCATTTCCGGCCAGCACCATCGCATGACCAGCATTTTTTTTAGGCGCCAATGGTCCCCGCTACCCCCTCTTGCCACACCTTGCTTTCTCCTGCAGTTCTCAGTGACGGAGCATTTCCGGCCAGCACCATCGCATGACCAGCAATCGCTGCCAGGAGTCTTCTTCTTCTACGACCTCTCCCCCATCAAGGCAAGAGCCCCTTTTTCCTCTTCAAACATCGCAAAGTATGGTCTCGCTCTCATCAGGGCTAGCGTCCCTTGTGCTGCTCAGCTCGTCCTTGCTCTGCTCTCCCTGCTACTTGAGTCCGGATCAGGGCTAATTTTTGGATTTTGACTACCCTTATGAGCAGTGTGGTACAAGGTCAAAAACCTGATTATCAGTGTGACCCCTTCTGAAAACCCTGTTACATCAGGGTTTATGTCGGTTTTCAAAAATTTACCCTGTCGCATCAGTGTTCTTAAAAGACAAACCCTGGAGAAACCGCAAGTCTGGCCTATGGTGGCCCACTTTGAGCCAGCACATGCGTTGTCAAGGCCGAAATTACGGTTTCGCCAGTTGGCAATCGGGATTCGGGAATCCTGGGTTACTGGAAAAAGGGGGGGTGGGGGAACTGGGGGGGCGGGGGGGGGGGGGGGGGGGGGGGGGGAGTATGGAACTCGTTATTGAATAAGGGAACCCTTAGTCATCAGTGTGCCTATATTGTAAACCTTGACACATCAGGGTAATCTTGACTCTTAGAAAAATTACCCTGGACCATCAGTGTTACTCCCAAAAACCACCCTGATTATCAGGGTATCAGGGTGATTTACACTGATAAAATTAGCCCTGGTCCGGATTGCTGCTTTTCTGCTTCTTTGCTCCTGCTGAGATCGTACCCTGCACTCTGCACATCATGCCAGCTTGCAGCATGCTCCACTATACCCTGCACTCTGCACCTGTCTATCCTCTCATTCTTCTGTCGCAGCATCATGCTCATCCTCCTGCTGCGCTCTCTCGTTCCCGCTGCTCTGCTTCGCTCTTACCTTGTGCTGTGCGCATGTGTTCTCCTGCCTGCCTGCCTGCGGTGCGTTGGAGCCAACAGGTGCAATATTCCGAACGCTACACCTCCTTCCTCCACTTTCTCACCAACGTCTGTGCCATCGTAGGAGGTGGGTAAAAGAGCCTTTATTTGCACTTCGCCTGTTTCAGTTCTATCAACCACCCCTCCCCCCCCCCCCCTGTTTTTCATTTTGGTGAGACATCTCACTAATAAGTCCCTCCCTTCCCCCGCTGCTGCTTTTTCTCCCTCATGTGCAGGCATCTTCACTGTTACCGGCATGGTTGATGCCTTTATCTACCACAGTCAGCGTGCCATAAAAAAGAAAATTGATCTAGGGAAACTCAACTAATCTGTCAACACTTAGTGCCTCACTAGCAAGACTATTACATGTGTGCCTGTAGGCACAAATCTAGAATGCCTTCATAGGCGATGCTAGGTTAGATGCTAAATCCTAGGCCTATGGTACTAGTTCTCTAGACTGTATTACATCTGAAGATGGTGCAAACAAACTTGCTGCATCAGTGATGATGAACAATACACAGATGAACTTTCTTTGGAACCCAGCCGAATTAGATGTACGAGAATGGTTAGTGCGGAATGCTGGGAAGTGTGCACCCACGTAATGTAATTTTCTGGAGGCCTGTCTCTAGCGAAGTCAAAGGAAGCCTTATTTCCCTACTCAGCAAAGAGGCTTATCTCATTCGTTACAATCGTCAGCACTTGAGCTTGCTGCATGGCGAGCGACGCTCGCCACGTGTCAGCAAGCGGTGCCGTGCAAGCGCGGCAGGAGCTGGGGAGCCAGAGCAGTCTCCGAGCCGCTATCATGGAGCAGCTAGCCTCGCCGATTTTCGCCTCCGCTTCAAATTCACCGTCGTGGGTTCGAACGCTCTCAGGACCCGTTTCGCTCTCGCCTATTCCTTCAATAGTCTTTTGGTGGTGGTGTTCTTGCTTCCGAGCATCCGATTCCGACTTCGCGTCATTTGAGCTGTTGCCCTGTCCCAAGCAGAGGTCTGCTCGCGAGAGTTGTGCTACCGCGTCGTGAGCTGTTGCCGCGAAGCACGGGCTGTGTGTGTGAACAGCAGTCGCCGTTTGAACCCCGATCGTGAATGAAGGGCATGATGCAGGAGGTGAAGGAAGGCACGAAGGAGAAGGTGGAGGGAGCCAAGGCGGGGCTCAAGGAGTCGATGGAGTATGCCAAAGCGGACATGAAGCAGACCTTCGAGAAGCTCAAGCACCCCATGAACAGGTGACTGAAAGTTGAATAATTTCTCCTCTTCCTTTCTTTCTTGGCTACTGAGCTAACCTGCTTTCGATTCTGATATTCTTCGGACTTTGAGAATTTGATTCGTGCGTGGCAGGGAGAAGAATCTGGAGGCTCGTGATGAGGCGTTCGAGAAGAAGCTGGAAGCAACGAGGGAGAAGCTGGAGAGGAAGGAGATCGCCCACGAGCGACGCCAGGAGGCCACTGAAGGTCCGTATGCATCTCTTCTGCTGTTCCATTCCTGATGGCTTTTTATTGATGTTTTTTGGTCCATTTGTTTTTTTCCTTCTAATCACGTGCTATCTGTTGTACCGTGTTACCTTTCAATGGCTTTTCGGCAGAGGCACTTCACAAGGTGCATGCATCCAAGGCGGAGAAGGAGGCGGAGAAGGGAACGGCTCAGCACGGAGTGACGCCAGGTGCTGCCGGTGCAACTGCTGCTGGCGTTGGTGCTGCTGGTGCTGCTGGTGCTGGCGCTTACGGTGCAAGCCACGAGCGTGAGCGTGGAACTGGCCTGGGAACGCACGAGCGTGGTACTGGGACCGGTTACAGGGAGACTGGCACCGGGTATGGTGCGAGCCAAGAGCGTGGCACTGGAGGTGAAGGCGTGATGGGGAAGATAAAGCACGCTGTGACTGGAAAGCCTTCTGCGGAGCACCATGAGCGTGGCCCGGGTTATGGTGAGAGTGCCACTGGCTATGGTGGGACTGGCACTGGCTATGGTGCAAGCCAGGAGCGTGGGACTGGAGGCGAAGGTGTGATGGGCAAGGTCAAGCACGCTGTGACAGGAAAGCCCTCTGCTGAGCGCCACGCTGAGACTGGCACTGGGTATGGCGAGACTGGCACTGGGTATGGCGAGACTGGCACTGGGTACGGTGCCACCCACGGTGAGCGTGGGACTGGCACTGGCTATGGTGCGAGCCAGGAGCGTGGGACGGGAGGTGAAGGCGTTATGGGAAAGGTGAAGCACGCTGTTACTGGAACAGGAGGTACTGCTGGTGAACGCCATGCCGGCACTGGCACTGGTTATGGTGATACAGGACCTGGTTATGGTGAGAGGGGGACTGGCTATGGTGCAACCCAGGAGCATGGCACAGGAGGCATCATGGGCAAAGCCAAGGAAGCTGTAACCGGCGAGCGCCATGCTGGCACTGGCACTGGCTATAGTCAGGGTGCCACTCACGAGAGGGGAACTGGTACTGGCGCCGGCTATGGCACTGGTACTGGCGCAGGGTATGGTCACGAGAGTGGTGCTGGCACAGGCTATGGTGCAAAGAGTGGTGCAGCAGGGACAGGAGGTGGTATCCTTGGGACGATCAAGAAGGCGTTCACAGGATCAAGTGAGCCCACGGCCGAGCGTCCTGTCGAGACTGGACGCACTGGCACTTCCGGGCAGGAAGAGTATGACCCAACTGCTCCTGTTTTCATGAGGAAGTAGTTTCTGTTTTAATGGTGAAGTTAGGGGTTATGTACACTTCTATAGAATGTCATGTTGTGGAAGATGTACAATACTACAGTTTGATTGGCTAGGTTCACAGTACCTGCTGGCGTTTTGCGAGTACTGAGTACCTGCACTGTGAAAAAGGCCCAATCAGAACACAGGTTTGGCTCATCATTTTGCCATACCTGGTTCCAAACCAATCAGTCCAGGTGTCATGAAAGAACCCACCGCAGAAGGACACGCGGACCAATAACAACACACGCCGAGGTGTGCGCTGGAGGTTTGGGATCGCTGCTTGTACGCTTCTGCCTGCACCCACTGCTATCCACGATTCCACGCCTCTAGGAGCACTTGATCACTGATTTCTGCTGGTCTGGTCGTGTCTGATGTGTGATGTTGTTACGGGTGCAATGAATCGAGGTAGCGAGAATTGCACTAAGGTGTCAAACGAGTACAAAATGTGAGCGAAGGCATGAGCGAGCATTTATACGCGAAACATGCAAAACGGTAACGCGGTGCGTGCGAACTTGCTAGTGCTACGCTGGAGCGAGGCTCGGGCTAGTCCCGAAGCGTAGGCCGATACGGCCATGCCAGCAGTGCGAGGTTTGGCAAAACAGTGCGCGCGAAGTCGGCGAAGTTCCGTTAGCAGTAACGGGCGAACAGTCGGCTGTTGCTGTACGCGATGTAGTCGGCTCCGTAAGGAATGCCTGAGAAAATTCCTTACACTACCCCCCCCCCTTAAGAAGCCCCCTCCGCTACGCGAGTGCGTGTATATCCCGGAATCCCCGGCTTCTCAAGTACACTTGCAGGGCAGGGTGATTTTCGATGTTGCTCAGGGGCACCCAGCTATCTTCAGTTGGCGTGCGGTCTTTCCAGCGAACGAGGAATTCAATCCTCCTGATTCCCGTGGGGTGGCGGATCCGATGGCTCAAAAATTTCTCGGGCTCGATGATCGGCTCTGATGCAGGGCGAGTCATTGATTGTGGCCGGTGACGCGGCAGTTGACTCGTGGTCGGGATGTATGGGCGAAGTAGGCTGACGTGGAACGAAGGGCTGATGTACCAGTCAATTGGCAACAGTAGGTGCGCGGTGACGGGTGTGATCATGTGGCTGATTTGGAATGGTCCACAGTAGCGCGGTCGTAATTTTGGTACGTCGGGCAGTCGCAGATTTTGTGTGTCGAGTAGCACGTAATCTCCAGATTGATACGTGACGGGGCGGCGGTGGCGATCAGCGTTGCGCTTAGCGATGACGTTGGCCTTTTTTATTGCTTCGGCGGCTCTGGCGCGGGCAGCTTGCAGGATTTCGGCGAATTGTTGTGCGCGTGGCGTTGGGTTGTCCGGACTCGGCGTCATGGGCACCGTGGGGTTCTGCCCATAGTTCAGGTAGAATGGGGACTGCTGCGTCGTGGCTGATGTGGCGTTGTTGTACGCGAACTCGATCAGCGGCAGCTGCTGCTCCCAGGTCGTGGGGTCGTCGCACGTGGCACGAATCAACTGCTCCATCGTCTGATTCGTCCGCTCCGTTTGGCCGTCGGTCTCGGGGTGGTACGACGAACTGAACTGTAGCCTGGTCCCGAACTGCTCCCAGAGGTTCTTCCAGAAGTTGCTGGTAAACTTCGTGTCCCTGTCGCTGATAATTGCTGCTGGTATCCCGTGCAGGCGAACAACGGCTGCGATGAACAGGCGAGCGGTCTCTTCGGCTGAGATCGACTTTTTGCACGCAGCGAAGTGTGCCATCTTCGTCAACCTATCCACGACGACCATCACCGCGTCGTTACCCCCAGGGTTCGAAGGTAACCCTGTGACGAAGTCCATGGTTACTTGCTGCCAGGCGCGTTCGGGCGGTGGGATCGGCTGCAATTGACCCGCCTTCCGCTTCCTTGAACTCTTCATCACCTGACACGTCGGGCACGAGCCCACGTGCTGCTGTACGTCGGTCAACAGCTCCGGCCAGTAATAGTACCGCTGCAGTTGCTGTCGTGTTTTTTCTACCCCGAAATGTCCCGAGGTGATCCCGTCGTGTGCCTCCTGCAGCAGCAGCTCCCTCAGTAGTGAGTACGCGGGTACCCAAATGCGGTTGGTGCCTGTTTTTACGTAATAAACTCCTTTTGCTTCTGCCAGTTGCTGTGAATTTCCGGTCGTGAAAAATGGGTCGGTGCGGTATCCGTGGGTGAATAGGCCAGTTAAAAGCGGGTTGGTCTGGGCGAGTAGGATGGCGTGGAGTTGGGCGGTGGGGCGGGTGAGAGCGTCGGCGATGTTGGATGCTCCTTTTTTGTACGTGACGGTGTAGTGAAAATTGGACTCGAGATAGTCCAACCAGCGAATCTGTCGTGGGTTGAGATTCGGTTGGGCGCGAAGGTACTGTAGCGAGCGGTGGTCTGTCCGTACTGTCACGTCGGCACCAG